CAGAATTTCTTCAACAACAAGAAAAATAAAAAAACTTTCATCACTCTCTTTTAGACACTTTATCTTTATCTATATCGTTATATAACTCTATTATGTACAAATAACATTGTTTTTAGATGTTTTAGATCAACCCTGCTTTTACTACTTTAAATTTATACACTTTGATAGATAAATGAAATAAAAAAGCGAAAATCCACTTAAACTATGGCTCAATTTCACTTTAACCTTTACAGTTTACACTCAAGACCTTGTCATATAATCCCTTCAATCCACAATTAGTGTCAAATTAATCAATCAATTTGTCTAATCTATGTCCACCTCAATTGAGGCATCTCAAATGAAAAATAAAGCAATAATAATAATAAATTAAACTAGCATTTTCCAAGTCTGTCTTCCTTAAGATTTCCAATAATATCTCGTCCATTGCTTTTTAAAATATTATTAGACTCGAACCTAGACCTAGTCGAGTGACTTTTTATTGTACCTAGACCTAGTCGAGTGACTTTTTATTGTACCGAAAAGTAAATGTATCAAATTGCAATGAATAATTTTTAGTGTTAGTTAAAAACTAAGTGAAAAGACTAGGTAGAGATCAACTTCATCCTCTAAATAATTTTTTCTCCTAACAATAATTAATTGTGTTGATTATATTAAAGAAGACCAAACTTAAATTATCTTCTTAATTATTTAATTATTTCTTGTTGCCTTCAAATGATTCAGTTCACACTAAAGAGATTAAGTTTTTTTACTAATAAAAAAATTAATTATTTAAAGTCGTAAGAATACCTAAATCATAATAATTTCTTCTTTTCCAATTTTTTTTTTTTAAATGTTTTACAATAAACATGGTATACAACTACAGGACAATTATTTAACAAAAATATTTATTTAAATTCCTTAATGTCTTGAATCACATGGGTTGTCCCCACGTAACGAACAAAACCCTAGTAATTAATAAAGTATTTAGAGCAAATTGCATATATTTTAAGCATAAAAGCTGACTGTCTAATTAAGAAAAAGAAATTAATTTAGAATAATTAATCAAATGTAACAACCACATCTATCTTTACTAAACATGGATTTGAGGAATCTAATTAACGTTGTCAAATTTAATTTTGCTAATAAAAAACTCATACTATGCATTTAATTACTCAAAACAATATACGAAATGAAATAAAATTTATGACTTCTCTGCAATTTTTGTAATCTATGTTCGTTAAGACCGTTGATTATGGGATGAATGTCTGAGATTCTGAATTAGGGCACAATAGAAGCAGAGTTCTTTAGAAAGAATTGAAGAATATTTATCATACGAGCTGGTGGTTAGGGCCGGCGGAGCTGTGTGTTTTTGGGAGAGATTTTCAAAGTCCAAAAGCACTTTTTGTTAAAATTATAGATTTTTACTTAAAATAAATAGGTGCTTATTAACTAAAAAATAAACTTCTTACAAATGTTTTAGAGAAGCTCAAATTTAAATCTTTAAATTGCTCTGAATTCTGCTCTTATAGAAAATTAAAATGTGCACTTTGATGAAACTTTTGACTTTTTCAAATAAATTCCAATTCTCATACACACCCATATATCAGGAAAAAAAAAAAAAAGGAAAGAAAGAAGAGAAGATGGTGCAATGAGAAAAATGTTCTTTTAACATTGATTTTTTAACTTCTCTGTATAACTTTGAATTCAATTAGAAACACTACTCAGGTTTTCTTGTACTGATTTATGACAAACAAAGCCGTATATAGGTTTTAACAACGAACTAAATTTAGGACCTTACTACATATAAATCAAAATTTATATCATGGGTTACATAATGTCATATGTCATTCTATATTTGTCAGTTTAAAAACATTCAATTTTTTCATCCCATCTTTTCTCTCGACATCATTTTATATTTTCTTTTATATAACATTTTTATGTACAAGTAGCGTGATTCCTAAATTTATAATGAGCTTTGCTACACCTCAATGTACAACTCCTTTCACAAGAGGGGGGTGACCAGAATTTTTTTATTGGACGTGAACCCCTTCTGATGAGAGGGCTATATACAAGATTGAGTGGCTGAAAAATGAAGCGATGTTCAAAATGAAAAGAGCAAGGAATGGAGTCCCACAAAGCCAAAATAAATCTAGACTTTGATAGACTTTCCATTGATGCTTATTGGGAGCCTTCAATGATAAAAATTAAATACAAATTATAAAAAGCAGATTCTAAAGGGGGAGAGAAACAGAGCAGCCACGCCATGCATATAGAGAAGCACTAAAAACTAACACACTTTTTTTTCTTTGTAACTTCTTGAAAGTAAGTCCTTCCATGTAAAGTATAATGATAACCAACTTTTCGTTAAGGAATTTGAAAGTGGGGCACTTTTGTGATGGAGAAGCCTCCTGGGAATAAGGGATTTGGGTAAAAAGAACATGCAGTTATCATAATCATATCTTTCCAGCTTCTTCATGCCTTATTCAAATTCACATTAATGTTATCCAGAATTTAGTATTCTATTTCTACCAATCCATTCCGAACTAGGTAGTTAAACTCGACAAATTTAATCAAAACAAACAAGAAACAAGTTTTTATGAAAATTTAGCCCTTGTTTGATTCCCATTCTTTGGAGAAAATGAATTTTTCAACAATGTTCTGATATAATTTCAACCACATTATTCAATAAAATAACATTACACACAAATTTAAAATATTTTCTTATTTTTTAACCACATTTCACATGAATACACTATTCAAAAATTCATTTTTCCCATCGAAATGGGCTCAAACAAGGGCTTAAACGCCAACTGGAAAAATCGGGAGCCGGGTAATTGAAAAATAATAAAGGGTGAAAGCATCAAAAGCAAATGGGGTATAAAAGTAACAAAAAGATGATGTGATGTACATGAGAGTGCGTGAGCAGCAAAGAAAAAAAATGTAATAGTTGTCATTAAGGAAGACCTTTTGAATTGTAATATTCTTGTGCGGTGGGCCCCACAATATCTCATCTTTACAAATTTACTTGTAATTTCACCAATCCACGTTTCTTCTTCTTTGGCTTTAAAACAACGCGTTACGCATTCTTTTCTTCCACACATAATATAACAAAACAAGAAAAAGTAAGCACTCATTCTTGTATTCTATGGTGGGGACCCTCATTTGCATGGTGTAGCTTCCTTTTCTATCTCAACTTTCTTATCTTCTCAATATCTCATCTCATCAACGTCAACCCAAAATATCCATTCTTTGCCATCCCATAATTCCAATTTCATAAAATCTATGACATGCCCACGTACAAAACATCTCATAGCTTAAATTCAAATATACGAAATATTGTTTTTCAATAAATAATGGATAATATACATGTAAAGTCGCAGACAAGTGGGTTGGTAGTAGAGAGGTTAAAGAGACAAATGCACGTGAAAGCAGAGGACTTCGTAAGCCTCTTGTTTAGGGCTGTCCTGTCTCTGTTTAGATTTTAGAACCATAATGGGTTAGACCATATGTTATTTGAAATCACTAATTTTGGCCTCCCATGCCAAGAAATGAAAAATCTATTTTCATATGGAACATCAAGAGGTCGGACCACAATGAAAATGATACACAAGATTAGACAATACTGAACAATAGTCCTCGTTTGAGCCCCATTTTATAGTGAAAACAAGTTTTGAGTAGTGATTTTTGAAAAAAGCGTGGTTAAAAAGTAAAGATAAATTTTGAATTCACATGTAAAATTATTCTATTAGAAGAATGAGTTGTTAAAAATGAATTTGAAGAAAAATGAGTTTTTAAAAAATGGAGCTCAAACGCTCAACATTCTTTTCAGTTTCCAAAACGTGTAATCTTACATGTTTCTAGCATATATCTCAATCAACTATAATATTACAAGTCAAAAGACAAATAATAAAGCCGTGTCCTGAAGATTAGGATGAGAATATTTTGAGGCTTCAAATATTTTGCTTTAGTAAGGACTATAATTATACTCAAGACAAACATCAGTACAACATTCATCATGGTGAAGACATGCACATGATGGGAATCAGAGCTGTAAATTGCCAATTGTCCCCCATGAAGCCACATACCTTGGCCAATAGATCCAAGAATTTGAGTAAATTAAGACAATCGTTGATAGTTGACCATCAACAACCACAATAACGTTTGCAAAGGTGAGCACCAAGCGCATGGGAGCAACCACCCAATATGTCTATCTTCTAGCGGAGTCATGGACAGCTGCCCCGGCTAGCCAGGAATTGACTCCGTCCCTGCTTGGCCAGTATGACCCATTGTTTCGGGTCACAGTGTGGCATTGACATGGTTTTTATAACTTTTATTGAATTTAAAATGAAGGAATTTTGTTTTTTCCCTCAACACATGCCTGCATTGCAATTTACAGACACAACTCGACTGGAAACGTGAGCCAACTTACGGCCTGGCTTGTGATGAGTCAGGCCAGGCCAGGCCTCAAAAGTGATGGGCTGCTTTTGGAAAAGATTTGGCAGCCTACACGGACTGCTAGGACTACTGGCTGCTGCCACCTTCCAAAAGTTGGGAATGACAGATCTGAGTCCATAATGGAAAACCACAATTCATGATCGAGTGCATGTCTTTACTCATTCAAGGAATTAAAACAATCAACTGTATATTCAACTCAGACAGACTTGACGACAAGCTTAATTTTAAACGAATTTAAAATATACATTTGAGTATTTCTTGTTGAGTAATGCTATTTGTCATCGTGATAATGGAATATCGATAACGTGACAACTCATTATTCCTCACGTTTCTCGTTCGGTTGAGACCATGTGCCCCCCCCACAAAACCCCCCAAACAAAAAAAAAAATTGAATTGTCCAATCCAATTATGCCATATACACTACCACGTCACCGATATTCCATCATCGTAAAAATAACATTATTCTTTCTTGTTTTCATCTTTCCAAGTAATCCTAGATTTTACCAGTTGGAAACGTGAACATACGTGCTCAAAAGATACACTACCCAAAGGCATTTTCTAAAAAATGAAGGAATGGAATTCAGCATTTTATTGATCAATCTAGGTGCTCGAAAGTAAATATAACTTTCCATTGTCACACTCCTACAAGGGCTTTACATACCGAGCAACATTATCCACAGGCAACGATTGCCCCATCCATAGACATCCACATGATCAAAATTCCCCAAATTCCCCATTTATAGCCTCCCAACAAGCACATGGGATTGTCAAATGAAGTGTTTATCATACAAGAGGAATCAGACCTGGTGGAGTTTCAATGTGACGTCAGTTCCCCGGTTTGATTTCCAAGAATCCAGCTCCAAGATGTGAGCATGAAGTATACTTTAGTCCTCCCTTAAACAAGAAATAAGGAGAGAAGATAACGAGAATTTTTGTCTCTTTGCAGCAAGTATAATTCGTCAAACTCCATATAGTGGCAGAAAGATTTTGACAAAAGAGTATGCCAGTGCCCCTGTAAAGATATAGCTGTCGACCCTATCTAGAAGCCCACCTGTATGTGAGTTATCATTAGATATGAGCCTGAATGTCAAAACTTAACACACATAAAATGATATATCCTCCCTTAATATATACTCCTACAACCTTAAACAAGAAATAAGAAGAGAAGATAACGAGAATTTTTCTCTCTTTGCAGCAAGTATAATTTGTCAAACTCCATATAGTGGCAGAAAGATTTTGACAAAAGAGTATGCCAGTGCCCCTGTAAAGATATAGCTGTCGACCCTATCTAGAAGCCCAACTGCTTTGTGAGTTATCATTAGAGTAGATGAGAGTCTGAATATCAAAACTTGACACACATGAAATGATATATCCTCCCTTAATATATACTCCTACATGAATCAAGCCCTCTGTGATCATTAAACAAATTGACAAAATTGCAGAACCATCTTAAACCGAATATGGGCCATCTAATTTGAATCCAGTGTCCAGATCCAAATCATTCATATGTTAGGTTTGTTACTGGATAGTGGATATAAATGATTTGGTAAAACTACTATTGTTTGATTAATTCCTTTTATAATCATAAAGTGGACCAAGCATGCGTGCACGGTCATGTCATAAATGTTTTGAAAGCAGAAAAAAGTGTGGTGTTGAAAAATTAGTGAATCTCAGCCGGGTGTTCTTTGCTCCAATCCTAGGTAATTGAGTCACCATATGTTCTATTTGATAATGCCACTCCAAAATAGTCAAAACGAAATTGTGACCGATCAGGGTAAGTGTAGGCATGTGACCTAGGATAAGGGGATGAAACCTGAAACTTGACCCAGGCAAGAACAGGGTTCAAGCCTACTATATGACACATCAAAATGATTAAGATATGTAGACATTACCATGTCCGGGTATGAGGGATCCTGAATCTTTGACCCCAGCATCACGCTTGATCATGGATTCCGTCAGGTCACCAAAAAGAGACCCAAAGTAGTTCAGAAATCCAAATGCTACAGCACTGCCAACCATCCAAGAGAAATATATAATTGATGCAAACGGAAGTTTCCAAAGAAGAATTTTTCAAATTTAAAAGCTAGAAACACTATTTCATTATTCTGTAACGAACAATGTAACTCTAATTAGGAAGAGAAGAAGCAAAGGAAACCCAGATGGAATGCTGGACTATGACGTGAAAACACTGATATAAAACTATGTACCTCAGGACAGATGTAGGCCAGCTTAGGGTCTTCGCCAATATTATAGAGGTCGCTATACAACCACCTAGTCCTGCAAGAGCTCCCTCCCACGTCTTTTTTGGGCTAATACTGGTCAGAGGTGTCCGACCAAAAGCCTGCACTTGAATTCCTATTAGGGCTCATATATCCACAAAAATGTCATCTAGATTTGTTATATGATCACAAACACAGGTTGAAAACATGAAATAAGAAAGTTACGGGAGTTAATTGCCATTAAGAAGTACAAAAAGTAACTGAAATAGAAACTCTACATTACGTATTTATAATTATGAACCAAGACAATATACATATGAAATGAAGGACAAAATTATGCCTGAAAAGGGACATAAAAGATCAATTTTACTAGCTGAACATCACGGGGGTACTAATTAGAATTAAATATGATTGGGTTCCGACAAATTAGGTTGCAGAAGCAGGTAAACAATACCGTGAAATTAGAATTTTCCCTTGTACCTTTGAGGGGAAAGAACTATGTCTTAAACTTTTCTCCTAATAAATGTGGCATCAATGCACAAACATCTGGCTGGTCAAATTCAGGTTTTCACTGTTGTTCCTTAAAAGAGAGGAATGATGCAAAACTAACCGACCAGGAGAAAAAATATTTACGGAAACTACCTTTCCCCAAATAAAAGCACATGTATCTGCTGCAATAATACTGCTAACTGAAATTAAGGTTGCCACAAGACCCACTGTCCACTGAGTTCGGCCACCAAGAAGAACAGGCCAAGATGCTACCACACCTGTCAAACACAGACTCCCATTAAAACTTAACCAATGTACTGGTGGCAACGCCAATTTAAGTTTTTGCTGATATTTCTAATATTGAAATATAAACAATAAATTTCACCATGTGTTGATCTACAGAAAATATAAATGACTAAATACGAAGTTCTCATAGAAAGACAGAATTTCTGAGTAAGGACGGACTTTCCAGCCAGTTATGAAGATTCAAAATTTTAGATTAGACATGCTTTACCAGAATTTCATTAATCATGCTTAGCCCACGTTTGAGCCACATTCTAGGAAAAAATGCATTATTCATATCAAATCAATAGGAAATATGTGGTTAAAAATAAGGAAAAGTTTTAGATTTGCGTGTAATATTATTTTATTGAAAAATGTGTGGTTGAAATGATGTCAAATTACTGTTAAAGAATGTATTTTTTTTGAAAATAATGTAGCTCAAACAAGCCCTTAGAGTCAAAATATTTCATTTTTGTCTAGCATAAGTATTGCGTCATTTGGCTACACTTCTAAACACCCAATGCTTTAAGCTTATACACTTTTAACAAAAAGGTGACCAAAATTTCAAGCAGATTTCAGTAGAATCGTGCATTATCTACATAGCATTGAGTTGTATGCTTCACAAGTTCTGATTAGCACTTGACGTAGTACTGCATAGGTCTAGGAGTTTCTTTAGCTCTTATTTTCATTTACTTCCATTTTTTTGTTCCTTACTTTTTCAAAGAGACAGAAACTATCTATAATCTATATGGTGCCTAATAGTCATCCATTTACAACATCGATATCTTTAATTTGGGGAAGTGTTCTGAAGACATGCATTATCTATTACTCTGAAGATCACCATTATCAAGAAGATATGCAAGCAACCAACAGTACTATGACCAACCATAAGCTTCATAAAATATAAACCATTATAGTTTTTACCTTTTTTAAGAAGATTAAAAATCAAAAGATAATCCCTAATCTCATAGCTATATCTCAATTCCCTCCAATCTATGATGTTGTCGGTAAATAGTAGCACTGTGAATTTCCTATCACAAGCTCATTATGTAGTACTTAGCCATTTTTCCCTATTCAAACAATCATGCTATATAATGCATAAAAAAGCAACAAAATTCTTAAACTTTATGTTCATCCGTCTCCATTAATCTGATTTTATTTGATAGTCAATAATTCTTGTAATCTAAGTGCGCTTAAAACTTGGTCTTTTTTTAAAAAAAAATTCAATTTGGACTACAAGTCCAAACCGACTAACCGAATCGAACTTTGGTTTGGTTTGATTTGGTTCAGTTTAAGAGTTAGAGTAGATTTGATCGTAGAAATTCACCCAAACCAACTAATTTGGTTTTGATTTTGGGTTGGAGTCGAAACCGACCCAAACCAAACCACGCCCACACCTACTAACACGGAACACTACAATACCTTTCTCCTTCCAGAACCAATTGGAATAGAGCATAAACTATCAAGCTTTAAATCAACACTTACATTCTCTATTCTTCCTCAAGCCTCATTGCCCGAAATGGATCAACAAAATCAGGCAAACTTTTCTCAAACTTAATGTCAATTTGAGCAAGTACCATAGAAAGAAAACACTAATGCAGATCTTGGATAGGACCATGTTTCATCAAGATGAAAGTTGAGCTGAGCTAGATATTCTGATCCATGTGTACATCAGTGTAATATTTAATCTTTTCCATGACTAAAATTTTTTTCCTTCCCCATTTTACTCTTTCTTCTGTTTTGGAAACTGTCCTGTAGTCCTACCAAGACAGGTAGTTTAATTTCAAAAATACTTCTCCACATTTTGTCAAAATATTTACCCAGTTCTTAAGTCCAAACTCCAAACACAATTCCGTGATCTCTGGTACTTCGTGTAACACCAGAAAAGCAGCACGTGTTGGTTGTGGCATAAATATCCAACACATCAACTTATCCGTGGTGAAGTATAGTCTAATAACAATTTTTTGCCATTTGCCATTTATCTTTTCTTTTACTAAATCCCTGGGATTGATAATTACCATAAACAGACTCCTTCCCAGCAATAATTAACTTGCAAGATCAAATAGGATAAGCTAGTAAAAGAACCAGGCTTAATTAAACAAATTAAAATGAGATACATCCTTGATGTGCAAGGACACCTGGCCATAAAATGAAAAAGTTATTAGCTAGAAAGTGCAAAAAACAAAGACAGGCTATATCTAGAATAATTACTTAAAAAAAAAAAAAGGATACTTACGGGTATTTACTGCAGGAGCCGCTAAACCACATTCGAGCTTAAACCCGAAACAAGGAAGGTAGCCACATACTAATAGCATCTAGTTCTTGCTTACATAGATAGGAAATACATTAGAGCCCGTTTGATTCACATAGATTTAAAAATGAGAATGAAAAATATAATTGTTACGTGACTCATACAAGAAATAGAAAGTTAAATATGGTGAATTGATGTAATGAATAATGGTCATATTTTTTATTTTTGTGGCCAAAGAATGAGATTCAAATGGGGACTAGAATATTATTCTATTAACTATTGAACCTATGATATAAATTTTGTATATATAAAATAAAAGTTGAGTAACAATGAAGGGTGTGGAAGATAACGAGTAACAACCATTATAGTGCATAAAAATTGACTTTTATGTTTATTCATTTTCCAGTTTGATAATCATTATTTCAATTTATTTTACATATTCATTTTCAACAACACATTCACAAAATTAAATATTTTACACTTAAATTCAAAAAATTTTCTTATTTTTTAATCATACATTTTCCAAAAAATCACTATTCAAAATTTCATTTTATCTAAATAATAATTGCCAAATAGGGACTTATATTGTGCCGTCCCTTGGTCATGTATTAGGTCCCGTGTGGTCTAGTTCTTGTTGCTCAAAATTTTCATGCAAAACACATTATTTGAAAATAATAATTAATTTTAACTTCATAATTTATAGATTTTATAATTTTTATTAATTTTTCAATCATATTTCTTATCAACTTTATTATATGATTTTTAACAAACCAAACGGAAGCTTAATAAACCTGTATTGCGAATGGTTATCAACAAATAGCATTATTCGAAGCGAAACCACGCTACTAATACGTGCAGGAGAAGGAACTAATACAGCAGGCCAATACCACCTACGGAACCCGCCGCCGTTTTAGGTGTCGCAGTTGGTTTTCATTTTTCCACTTTCTCCAGCAAAAAGGTTGCTCCACCCTATACAACCGCCTTGTGCTGTGGGCCATTTTTTTCCCTTGTTTTGACTGACACTTCCCACCCACCAAATGTCAATATGTGGTTTTCGTGGAATCCAAGGAATATACCCCTTAGCTTAACATTAATTACATGTATAACCTTAATATTGCGGATGATGAACAAAATAGCAACATAGGTCCCTCATCTTTGAAGCATTTGATAGTTTGGTTAACAATTCTAAAATGGATATTTACGTAGCCACCTATTTGTTTTGGCAGCTCTCGTCCTTAATGGATGGACCAACATTCACCGAGAGAGGGAAAAAAAATAGATTTACTCTAGTGCCACCTTTCATATTGGAGCCATCGAAAAATATTTGCCGTGAAATTGGGATCTGATGCATGACATCTTTATTCTTGATCAAGAATAAAGATGTCATGCGTCAGATCCCAATTTCACGGCAAATATTATTCTTGATTGGGTAGTTGCTTGCCAAATTCACGGATGATATATCAAAAGTTCATACCATTTAATAAGTAATTAATTGGATGAGAACTCTGATAAGACAAAAATCCATTTTTTCAGCATGAACATTTTGAAAAATGATGTCATTACATACATGTATTTTATCAAATTTGTTTTCTCCCTCACCATAGATATTTTCCTCAACAACAAATAATGTGAAATGCATAACAATTATTAAAATATATTTTACCACTTTTATCCTATCTTTTGATTATAATTTGAAATTTTATTAAAAAAATATTTTTACCGTGATCATTATATGAACAAAAAATTTAACTAAAACATGAGAAATGGTTAAAAAAAAAAAAAAAACAAAATAAACGTAATTCAATAAATTCAAGGAAACACATCATAATGTCGAATGCAATTGATTCTAAACTCTTCTTGAGAATGGATGTAGGACCCAATAGCAACTCAGAAATGTATGTTTGAAAGAAGCAAACCTATATTTATGATGAGAACTCGAAAGATACGTGAAGATTTACTCCATTGTGAAATCTCATGAGACTTGTAGAAACTATTTTCTTCTTCCAACCTCCCCCCACCAACACCTCAAGCATTCATATATCTTAATTCCCCTATATTGATTATCCACATTAAATAAAAAATTTGTACGGACACAGCTAGAAAATTCAATTACTATCTTTTAACGAGAATAAATGCAGAGTTATGTAGGAAATCAAGCTTAATTGTACCGAAAGTTGTGTCCAAATGACACCTACAAGAAGAACAGAGTGAAGTGCTGGAGTTTGAGAAGTATCGAACAGACGCACCTCGGACACATGGAAACATCATATGACACTCCACAAGGGATGTCCTTTTTTATATCATATTTGAATTTCCAACACAATGGGAGACACAGTCCAAACACGTTGACGACATGGCATCATTTTGTAAATGTTGCAATATAAACATAGAAAACGCTAATTGTTAAAGTGTCTCGCTAAATTGCAGAATAAAATAATGGAATACAAATGAAACAAGCTGCATTCACACCATTTGCAACTTAAGGGAAGTGATAATGTAAAAAAGATAGAAAAGAACAAAAAGATAAAAACTCAATGGCCATTTGAAAATTGAAATAGACCAACAATGGGAAATGTCATATTTCAAACTAGATGCAACATTCGGTACACGACCCAAGTTATTACATTAACCTCTTGGACATTACCTATCATTGCCAAAGATTTGGCTTTGCCAGTTACCAACTCCACCTACTCAACAACATCCTCGAGTTTATATAAGTCAATGTTGGCTCTAGAGAAAGTCGATGCTTCTAGATGCAAAAGGAGATATGAAGGTCGAGAGAGGAGAAGATATGAAAATTAGACCAAAAGGGGAAGTGGAAAAAAGCAGAAGGTAGACAAAAGAGATGACTGGAGTCTCGATAGAGATGGAAGAAGGAGAAAAAGAAATATGTCAAGGGCTGCTTTATGGGCTATTTTCAGCCAATTTCTGGGCTTGTTACCAGGCTATTCTCAGCTAGATCTTAAATAAGTCTGAGTTACAGTATTTCATCTAGATTAAGACACTTTTCAGTTCATTGTTGACCAATTCCACGTTCCTATTGCTTTCAAGACTTTCCATCTCTCATTAACAAAGAGAGAGCTTTCTTCCTTCTTGCTTTATTGATTTCATGCCCTTCCCAGCTTGCAGCAATTTAACAGTGTAGCAGTGTTGAGAGAAGTAAATTTTTCTCTTATCTTATTAATCACAATAAATTTTGATATTCGAAAGGAGAGAATAAAGGTTCATAACAGGTATTAATGTTATTAAATAAATTATGCAATTTTTTATTATTTCAGCCAATGTGTTCCTAGATCGTGGCGTGTCAGCATGTTCTTTCCCATGCTTTATAGACTGCCAATACCCAATAGCAATTTTAGTGTTAAAGATGGTACATTCAGCTGACGTGCAGAAAATTCAAAGCTGAGGTCCATACTCTTACTAAATGAATTGAACAGAAAAACCAGAAATTGTCAACAACTCTTACAGTGTGAGTATAGGCATTAGAGCACAGATAACGGAGCAAACTCGTGATACATATCGAGGAGGAGGGGTCATTCCAGCAGCAATTCCACGGCTTCTGACCAGTTCAAAGTATTCCCTGGCACCAACAAATACTGCCACTGCAAGAGCCATTGTGAAAACCCATCCTCCAGCCAACACTACTCCTCCAGCAGAAACTCCAATGCCAAGCCCAAAGATAACCCTTTTCTTCAACTGACTCGCTTTCTGTAGATGTTCTGAATCTGTATTTTCCTCCACAGATATTTGAGTACCTCTGTTCACTTCCTACAACATATCCATCTCAGTGGTCCAGTTGTATTTCATCTGAATAGCATTAAAGGTAATCATACTTCTTAAACATTGTAAAGTGAACATTGACGAATCCTCTATCAATGATTTTTATTAGAGAGATTATTTTGCCGATTTTACTCACATATGATCCATATGTAAACAACAGAATCTGCAATATTATTTACTCTGAACAGCACAAGGATTCATCAACTGGACCTTGTTTTGTTGACTTATCTCGAGAATTATTTCATAGTTATGTTGTCATCCTAATGCATGCAGTACTTGCCATTTGTTCATGTTTTTATATTACAATTTATTCAACAAAAAGGAAGATGGTAAATGCATAAGTAACTGTACGTAATATAGATACTTACTCACCAGTTAATGTGCACATAGACCATATTCACATCTGACGTTAAGCATTTGCTATATTTACAAATGACACACATATTTTTCATTCTTAGAAGTTAACATCCTGAGAAAGTTAAATTGGTCAGAATGAATTTCCTAAATAGTAATATAGAGCCAATGGTAGCATAGAATTCTGAACCAGATTTTCAGTCTTAAAATTAAAAATAAGAAATTACCTTATCTTATAAAATAGTCACACAAATATATATATGAATTTCAAAATCCGTAGAAAAAAAAAAACAAAGCAGCATTAACAATGATACTAGAAAGCTCAAAGTCTTTCATATATTTCTTTTTATTGTCAATGTATTTCTACTAACATTATTCTTCGATCCACTGTATTAACTATTCAGTTATTCTAAGCTATCAAAGGTTGGTGGGCCATTAATTATGGACATGCTTTATTAATGAGTTAGTGAGTAAAAATTATATCTTACATGAGAGGATTAATGTTTTCATTAAACAATAAAAACAATTATTGGCCGATCATATAAGCATCCAATGTAACATTGTATCATGGGTCTCCTTTTTCTTTAAATGAGTATGTTCCTTGCAGAAAGGGGGAGGAAAAATATTTTGTCTATAAACAACTGCCTTCCTTTCTCTAGCAATTTAGTGCTACTTCTACCCACACCCACAAACTTCATAAAGGACATGTTGGGTTCCTTAGAAGCACACTTTGTACTTCGCATGGATCAAACGTGCAGATAAGCCGAGGAGCCTTCAAGTTTTCCTACTGACAATCTGTGAGGCACTAAGATGTTGGCAACTGGCAGATTGTGAGCACAAGCAGTGACGTGGAAAGTCCAAGTAACGTGGCATTAATGAAGAAAATCATGTAATTGCAACGCTTACATTAAAAGTCAAACCATCTACTGAAGAGCCAAAAGATGCAATTGGCGGTTGTGATGATTGGATCCGTTTGAAAATAAATGAATTGCTAGTCGTAGAATATTATTCTCGTCAGACTTAAACCTAACCGATGCAGTTCTTATCTAATGTATGCAGTCTGAACAGTCAGATCATGTCTGATTCAAACATGTGTGCTCTGACTACTCTAATTGATCGGTGCCAAAAAATGTGCCATTCCGAAATGGATACAAGAATAACCATATATACCTTCAAAAATATTATGCTATTACTTTTCCTCTTCATAGTTTAAATTATTAAGCCCTCGAGTGAGGTCGAGAAGCATACTATCAAAGCCTGATTCGCCTTAATGTAGTAGAGTTCATGGAAAAAATGGGGCACATTGGCAGCCCATAATTCTGCTTTTGAGTTAACAAGGGGACGAAATATGTCTAAAGATATCATTTTTCTATAATCCGTTACTTTTTATTTCGCCAATTTTCGCTCCAGCTGAGTTTTACTAGTCTACAGCAACTCAGAGTAACAGACAACTTCCACATCACTCATCAACTTCCAAAATTTAGCATAAGAACATTTTCTTTCCGAGAGCATTTACATCTAAGTAAAACACATTAATGACTAATCACATAAAGCTCAATGCCGATATCTATAAAATTAAGGGGAAATAGGCAAATATTATCGCATTTTGCAATATTAGATATTACCTCATCGATTTTTTCGGAGTCGTCAATTCGCCCCGGCTGCTCCGCTTTGACCACGGCGGTGATCAACCGTTTGTGTTTGAGTTTGACCAAAGAACCCCGCGGAATTCTAAAAACGCCTCGATGGCCATTACTATCAAATATTAACCCAAATCTCATAACGCGGTAATCGGGTCGGTTCAAATTGAGAGTTCTTGAAGTGAAGGGCCGTTCGTGACGGTGAGAGTGACAAGAACGTGTAGAGGTGAGAGAGAGCGGGATTAAATTGATTCTGCCTAATTCAACTACTATTTGTGGAGCCATTGATGGATTTTTTAAGATAATAGAAGGGAACTACACAGAATTAAGAAGCATGGCTGAGATTAGATTGGGCGTCCAGCGGTTGGAGTGAAAGCGGTAGCCGGGACTTAGAGAGAGAAAATGCGGTGGTTTGCGATGAGTGAGCTGTACCTCGGGACTTTAAACACGAAACGGATGAGAGAGGAGAGAGGATGATAGGGCCACATAACAGTATATTAATGGTGACAAACAAACAATGCTCTAAGCTTATTTACAAGGAAATATTCAGAATCAATTTCTTGGGAAGAAACGTCTTTATTTAACTAAAAATAATATTTAAGCTATGAGATGATGGTTATATACTTATTCTTGGTTGACTCGAAAATTCATGGTCAACGGTAAGTCTTAGAAGTTTAATTGATATATTTTCAATATTGTTTGGTGACAATGTTACGATTATATCTCAAGTATGATAAATATTAGTTTTCAATAAAAGATCGAAAAATAATAATTTGATAGTTCATTAGATTTATTCGAGGTAGTTTCATATAATGCGAACTTCGAATATTAACCCAATGAATACATTCGATCATCGACGTTCAGATGACATTTTTATCTCTCGAACTAATTTTGAATATGTTTCTTCTCTTCTCGCTTCAATGGATGTTGTACTCGTACGATCCATTTTCATTCATCCAAAAATCTCCACCATATGAGACTATAAATCTGAATCATTTCTATATTGCAAATTAGGAATTTTTAACAAGAATAAAGCTATACGTACAGACAGGTCAGATATTTTAAATTTGATGATGTGGCAGTTCATTAAATAAAGGAAAGGATGAAGAAAAGAACGAAAAGGGAAATAGAAAAGAGGGAGGGAAAATCCATAACTCCCTCAAATTGGGGAATAGTGAAGCGGAAGCCCAAAGCGTGGCGGTGCTCTAAGAACTCCGGCCATCTTTCGGCGAAAATTGCCAAAAATTGTGTTTTCTCATATATCAAGTGTAGCTCGGGCATATAGCTTCAACCTCTAGTGTTGGAGAGCCCGAATTACTCTCTTCCCTTTAAATTCTAGAGCCCTAAAAACTCCATCCCCGACGGCTTTTTTGGGCTAAAATCACGATTGCCCAACCATATAGCTTACACCTCCGGTGTTTTCTTATTGTAGCAAAATGTTCTTATTTATTTAAGTTGGATTTTTTGCTCTCCTCATTTTCTGTGTTTTATCTCATGTATGTGAAAGTTGTTGGATCTTCAAAATGAAGTATTCTTCTCAAATGCCTCAAGTTTTTGGTATGCAAGAGAGCCCGGCAGCATCAACTTGGAAAATTGGTGTAGAAGAGATATCACTTGGCTTTTAAATCTGCTGATTTTGGAAAATTTGTGAAGCTCCGCATTGTTCTGTCACTTGGTTTTACTGGAATCTGTTTTTGAATTAGTTTCCACTTGCTTATAACAGGTAAAAGTGCTAAATTTTGGCAACTTGGTTATATTCAATAATTCAAGCATTCACCCTCAACATAAAATGCAAAACTCAAAATCCATGGCGAGAATAAGAAATACTGATGCCAAACATAATAAAAGGAACATAGTTTACACCCATTTTCCATTATCAATACATATTACAATAAACTAGAAGGAGATGTGTTTTCCAGTGGTGGTTTGGCGTCGACGGAGGACAACAGGTTCGCTTCCTTTAAATCTGGGTTGGTATATTTGGGTAATGCTTCTAGGTGCTTTCGTCACTTGTTTTGTGCCGGCCAGAGGTGGAGGTGAATTCGACGATTTTCTCTTGTCTTTGTGAACGGAGGCGATGGCTTTGAGGACAAAAAAAAGGACGCAAGATCAGATTTCAATTTGTCCTGAGAACTTGATATTCGGACGGTTAACTTTAACTCAAAATTCTCGATAGTTATCTTACAAACTTGAGATTAGGCATGTGTGCTTGATGTTTTGCCACCACACTTGATATTTATCAATTAACATTCAAAATTCAATATTCTATTTTTTATATTCGATTTTTCAACAATAACAACTCGATATTTCAATTTCAACCTATTCAATTTGAGTTCTCAACATCCGTAGGATCGACTTGATCCGTTCTTACAACAATCTCAATGTTTTAGATAATCTACCAATTTTTAATGAAGATTTTTAACCAAGACTACAAACTTACGAAATATATATTGATACAGAATTGGATGGAACCTGCAATAAAACTAAACAATATTTAACCAAGAAGGAGAAATCACATTACCTTCTAGTATAAACGTACCAAGAGTTAAACATGAAAGTTGGAAATGGAAATTTCGTCAAGTGTTTCTATTGGAACATCATGATCAGCATTTGGAGCTTATCAATTCAGTTGAAATGAGACTATAGTAGCTTTTCTCTCAAACTTTCTTCTTCCTTATTAATTTTTTACATGGTATCAAAGCAAAGGTTCGGAATAAGAATCTCCATTCATGGCTACTGAATGAACAGACCTTAACCCAACCATGGTTGCCGAATCAATAAATCATAACCCAATAGTTTCTTCTTCTTCCACTTTTTTATCCCCCTTTCTCGATTTCAATAACATCACTAATCCTTATCATCTGGACCATGGAGATAATCCCTCATCCCTCAATTTCATTGGTTCCAGAACTCCTCATTACAGATAATTATACCACCTAGTCCAGGGACATGTGTCGAGCACTTCGAGCTAAAAACAAGCTCGGTTTTGTCAATGTTATATTGGTTAAGCCTAAGGACATTCATGACCTACTTTTTAATTCGTAGGAATGATGCAATGATCTGGTAGTCTCTTGGCTACAAAATTCAATCAGCCAGACCTTAAAATCAAGCATTGCTTTGGTGGATGATGCTTTAGAAATTTGGGTTGAGTTGAAGCATCAATTCACCCAGCAGAATAGGCCTCGAGTCTTCTAATTGAAGTAAACTTTAGCAGTGTTACAGTATGATCAAGATCCTGTAAGTATCTACTATGACAAGTTAAAGTCATTATGGGATGAATTAATTGTCTATGATCCACTCCCAGACTGTAGTTGTGGTAAGCTCAAAATTCTACCAGATAGGTACCAATGAGATTGTGTAATTCAATATTTAATGGGCCTCAATGAATCCTACAGTAATATATGAGACCAAATTATGATACTAGGCCCCTTACCTCCTACGAATAAGGTCATTTCTAAGATATAACAAGAGAAACAACATACCATGTCACCTGCCATACGTTCTCCTGACTCTATGGCCTCTGCAGTAAAAAAAGGGTTGTACCTCTTCCAAACCCAATACCAAGAAGCCTCATCCTCAAAAACATGAAAGGCCCAACTGTACTTATTGCCATATAAATGGTCATCTCTTGGAAAATTGTTTTAAGGTTGGAAATGCTGAGGCACCAATTTGCAGTCATTGTCATATGTCAGGGCATATGGTTGATAAATGCTACATATTAAATGGGTATCCACCTGGGCATAAGTTCCATAAAAAGGGTAAGGTACCTGGTCTTTTTGTAATTTAACTTTTCTGGAGTAGGAAGAAGTGGCTAAGGAGAAAATGGTTTTCACCAAAGATCAATACCAACATCTTTTGGCTTTGATTAGGGATAACAATTTGGCTCGTTGGCTTGAACTGCTCGATGTCGAGGCTCAAAAAAGGATCATATATTTTGGGTAAGTATTCGTTTGTAGTATTGTCATTACACAAGCTAGTCCTTCTTTCGAGTGGCCCAAAAATATCAAAAGAAAAAAGAAGGGTTTTTTTAATTATGTCCAAAAAAAGAGGGGAATGTACATTTGCTTGAAACGGTTCCCAAATAACTATACCACAACAATGGCGAAATAGAGTTTATTAACGTCGTATGGTTAAAAGTAAAAATTTCAGCAAATGGAATTTTTCATAAAAATTGGGGGGCAATATAATCCTTACAAAAGGGCCATCCTATCCAAATTTCAGGCATTAAGATACGTTTCAAGCGTGCAAAAGAACCCTCTTCATTTTAGGTCTAAATTCTTCGCTTTTGTGAATGCGAAAATGTGCCAATCCTTTTCTCTCCCTATCTCAATCTAATTTTCAATTGGATTGGTTTCTAGGAATGTTTTATCAATTCCCTTGGATTTGTTGCAAATTCCAATTTAAGTAGAAAATTCTCTTTATTCCGCTGATATGCATAAAAGTATTTGCCTCAAGGAGGAATCCTAGAATTTCGTCCGTTTTTTGTGTCTAAAATGACGTTAAGAAGGTATCAGGGGGCATTTCCAGATATATTACTCAAAAGAACCGGCACAATACGCCTAATCGGGGCCGAGCTCTATGGGTCGGCTCATAAAACAAGCAACATGCCGCTATCTTTAAAAAGGGCAACTGTGTGCTGCCTTTTTTAAAGGCAGCGCAGAACTGCCTTTAAATTAGACCGCAACATGATGTCTTTAAATAGTTAGCTGTGTGCTGCCTGAGTGTAATGAAAAAATCGAGCAACCCCGATTTGGCTCAGCTCAGTAAGGCCCAAACCAAAAGCTCGGGTGGAGCATTGATTTTTTGACGAGCTTTTGCTCGGCTCGGGTAAAAGAGCCCGACTTAATTTTACTAGAGCAGAGCCGAGCCTCGAGTTTCGGCTCTCGAGCCTGCTCGGATCGATACGTTGACATCCCTAGGTCTAATTCAACCAAGATATGTTGCCATTGCAACACATTCTGCAAACTAAGTCTAGACAGCTTTCAATCCCACAGTTAGTAGTTCACAAGAAATTAGAATGTCTGGTATACCTTTATTCCTCTGCTCTTCAGCTCAAACACAACAAAATTTTAATGCCTTACCTTGAATCATAGACACTGGCGCTACAAATCACATGATCTGTAATGCTTATTTCTTTACATCCATTACATCTCAAGTTTCATACACAGTCAGTCTACCTAATTGAAACATTGTAATTGTCAGTCATATAGAAATAGTTGGGATCACAAACAATCTAACTGTGAAGAATGTCCTATGAGTACCCTCATTTAACTTCAACTTGATTTCTACTAAACAATTAGCTAACTCTCTCACTTGTTGCTTCGTCTTTTTTCTCGCATTCTTGCTTTATCCAGGACCTTCATCTTGGACCATGATTGGCATTGGTGAAATGAGGAGTGGCTTGTATCACTTGCTGGTTACTGAAGTGTTGCCAATAGCCTTGGTTGATCGTTTTTCTTTACATAAGAACATGTTTGTTTCTAAATCTTTTAGTAATCCTGAACTATGGCACTTTAGACTTTGCCATACACCTTTCTCAAAGTTAAAGTTAATTTCTAATCCCATTGTTAAGAATCACTTATCTCACATTAACGATGTTCGTTGTTGTATATGTCCACTTGCAAAGCAGCACAGACTTCCATTTCCAGTTTTTTTTCATAAAATTAAGCAAATTTTTGAACTCATCTACTGTGACATTTGGGGATCTCTACAGAAGCTTATGATGGATCCAAGTATATTTTAACCATTATGGACGATTTTTCCAGAAGTACTTGGTTCTATCTTCTTAAAGAGAATTCTGACACTAGAACTTGTTTAGAAGCATTCTATAACCTAGCAGAACCACAATTTGGTGTGCTAAGATTAAGATCCTCCGAAGTGATAATGGCCTAGAATTTCAAATGAAAGATTTTTTCAATAAAAAAGGCATATCCATCAGAGAAGTTGTGTTGAGATCCCCAACAAACAAAATTGTTGAGATCATACCAGCATCTCTTGAACATAGCTCGAGCCTTTAAAATTCAAGCCAAACTTCCTGCCAAAATTTTGGAATGATTGTGTTTTAACTGCAGCATACCTAATTAATCGCATTCCATCGCCTCTACTGTCAAACAAAACTCCTTTTGAGTTGTTATTCAACAGGAATCCATCATACTCTCACATGAAAATTTTTGGTTGCTTATGTTTTGCCTCCACTTCATCTAGAGATCAAAAGAAACTTGATCCTCGAGGGAGAAAATGTGTTTTTCTTGGATATCCTTTTGGTGTGAAAGGTTACAAACTCCTATATTTTGACACACAATCAATCTTTATATCTTGTAATGTTATTTTCCATGAAACACATTTTCCATTTCAAATGAATACCACAATCAGTCCAGCACCTCTCACCCTTTCTATTGATTTCACTCAGACCATAAGTTCCTCACCTGATATTCTCTCTCTACCTCAAACTCCTTTTATTGATTCAGTAACTATTTCTTATTCCCTTCCTTTATCTCCCAATTCTCCTTCTTCTCCTACACATTAAGTCTGCTACACCTAATGGAACTCCCACTACTTCCTCGCCTGAACCAACACTTAAAAGACTGACCAGGATTCGAAGAGCTCTTCAATACTTTCAAGATTTCCATTGTCAGCAAGCTTTCCTCAACTCACCTACTCAATCTGTGTCCAAGGTTTTTGCACAATCAGATATGCCATTTCCTTTAACACAATCACTTTCTTATCATCGCCTGTCACAACTTACTTGGATTTCACTTTTTCTATTTCCTGACATATTGATCCACAAACATATAATCAAGCTGTTAAGGGTGTAAGGCAATGGAAGCTAAACTTGATGCTTTAGAGGTCAATAATACCTGGCTTGTTACTGATCTCCCACCTAGAAAGAATGCTATTGACTGTAAATATGTGTTCAAAACTAATTATAAATCCGATAACACAGTAGAAAAGGAAGAAGGCCCATTTGGTAGCTAAAGGATTTACTCAAAAATGAGTGGATTACCTTGAAACATTTTCTCCAGTTGCTAAAATGGTCACTATTAGAACTTTTCTAACTTTAGCTGCCATCAGGGAATGGCACCTCCAACAGTTTGACGTCAACCATGCTTTCCTTTTTGGAGAGCTTAATGAGAAAATTTACATGAAACGACATTTCCTAGATACAATAAAGGCAAACCTGGTCAAGTTTGCAATTGCTTCGCAGTCTCGATGATCTTAAACAGGCTTCCAGGCAATGGCATTCTAAATTTTCCACCTTTCTTATTTCCTTTGGTTTCATTCAATCCAATTCAGATTAAAGTTTATTTGCTTGGCCTGATGGAGAACATTTTACTACCTTGCTAGTATATGTTGATGACATTGTTGTGGCCAATAATTCCCTAGATTCCATTAGTGTTCTCAAAGATATCTTAAACCAATAATTCAAAATCAAAGACCTTGGTCCTTTACGTTATCCTTGGCATTGGAGTAGCTAGATCTCCTCTTTGTATTCATCTTTGCCTATGCAAATATACCTTAGACATTCTAGCAGACTCGGGTACACTAGGATCTAAACCTACTAAACTCAGCAAGGATTTAGGCCTTCCTTTATCTGATCCTAATGTGCATCGAAGACTCATTGGCCACCTCCTATAACTCACCATAACCAGACTAGACATTAGTTATAGTGTTCAAACTCTTAGTCAATTTATGGCTCACCCTTCCACCACTCATCTTGCTGCTGCAAACAAAATTCTTAAATGCTTTAAAAATGCTTCTGGGCAAGGCATTCTTCTTTCTTCATCATCTTCTCTTAGCCTCATAGGTGACTGTGATTCAGATTGGGCATCCTGCCCTGACACTAAGCGCTCTATCACTGGTTACTGCATCTTCTTAAGGGATTCTCTCATCCCTTGGAAATGCAAAGTGTTGTCTCCCGTTCTTCAGCTGAAGCAAAGTATCGTGCTATGTCTACAACTTATTTAGAATTCACTTGGTTAAGACAGTTGCTTGCCGATTTACTAGTTAATCATCCACATCCCGCCATTCCCTACTGTGATAATCAGGCTGCCTTGTATATAGCTGCCAACCTTGTCTTTCACGAATAAACCAAATACATTGAAGTCGACTGCCACTAGATTCGCAATAAAATCCAAGAAGGAAGTATTAAGATTGCTCATGTTTCTACACGTTCTCATATCGCTGATATCTTTACCAAGTCTCTGTCATCTCATATACTTTCTTCTCACGTCTCCAAGATGGGAATAATTAACATATATTCTCCATCTTGCAGGGAGATATTAGAACATGATGATCAGCATGTGGAGCTTCATATTGACAAGTCTAACGATTCAAATACAGCTGTGATGAATTCCCTAGAAGGCCTCTCATAGGCATTGTTGTAATTGCTCAATTGGTTATTCCTGCTGAAGATTCTAGAATTAGTTATTTTTGTTTTGCCACCTGTGTATTTTTTCCCATTATATACAACGCGCGCACCCACACATACAAACACACACACACACACACACACACACACACTCTCTCTCTCTCTCTTCAGCATGTGGAGCTTCATATTGACAAGTCTAACGATTCAAATACAGCTGTGATGAATTCCCTAGAAGGCCTCTCATAGGCATTGTTGTAATTGCTCAATTGGTTATTCCTGCTGAAGATTCTAGAATCAGTTATTTTTGTTTTGCCACCTGTGTATTTTTTCCCATTATATACAACGCGCGCACCCACACATACAAACACACACACACACACACACACACACACACACTCTCTCTCTCTCTCTATATATATATATATATATATATATAAATTAGTTTTCTATTTCATGAAACATTGTGCTAGTGATATACTGGCGAAAGGTGGGAATAATGTCAAGTCCTCATGGTCCTTATGGGCCTCAAATACCCTTAAATCCTAAAGGCTAGACCCACTTCATTGCCCGGTCAATCCTCGAACCTATATATAAACACACTAGCCTTTTGTCACGAGCTGGACCCGAATTAGTCCATACATCACCTTATACTACGAAAACAATTTTACGAACAACCCAATTACAAGCATTTAAACCTTAATTTCTCTAGTCTCGAAATTCATTGCACGGCGCGGATGTAATATAAGTTTGGAATTAAGCATATGTGTTTTAAGGTACGATCAAGCATTCTAAATTATAATTTTATAAAATATTACAATAGTTAGGTTACTAGCAACATGTATTGTTTAGCTCAACCGTGTGACCAAAGTGGTAACTAAATTCTGGTGTAAATATGAAAATACATCATAATAATGATCAGGGAATTGGTATAGGCGAAAGGAGTTGCAAGGACTGAAATATATCAGGTTCTGGCATATTGAGTGGTGGCAGAGAGAAATGGCTGTAAGTGGAACTGCCTCTTCTAATTTCTTGCATAGTCAAAAGGGCTGCAACTGTATTCCTGAAAATCCCCTCTCCAGGAACTGTAATTGCTTCTCTTTCAGCAGGATGTATTCCTTGTTCTTGTGAAGCCGGGAAAACTGAATCTATGGTGGTTTCACACTCTTTGACGAGCTTCGAAATGAGATCAGTCGTGAAAAATGGTTGTTCCAGGACTTTTTGGATAAATGGCAAGCGCAAAACTCCACCTGTTCGTTTATCGTACTTCTTCAGAATCTTGGCCAACCCTGCAGTATTTTCTCATTCGTCTCAAAAACAAATGTCCATATAACGCAGCTTAAACTTTTAGACGAGAGAGAGAGAGTGGGGAAGCATTTGACTTTTACCGGTGTAATTGATGTTGCTGTAATTGATTAGCAGAACCATTTCTCCATGAAAATTGACAATGTCTTTTCTGATTTTTGCCATCTCCTCTTTGTATTCTGTCTCAGATGGTTTAGTCCCATTTGGGCCCCATGTATCAGTTACTCTCTGTATCCCCTGTTGCAATTCCTGCATCAAAATTGACTATGAAATAGACAGCTAGTTGGTTCCAGCAATTTCAATCTCCTTCTCTATAACTAAAATTAAACATGCTATCCGATAAATATTTTCTATCTGTAACCTGATTTTGATTGTTTTTGTTGTGTTGTCTCTATCAGTAAAGCCATTTTTGTAGTGGGAGTCTGAGGGATATCCTCTCCTCTTGTGAACGAATCTACAATGTTAGCACACTCTAAATGTGGAGCCCATAAATAGGACCCACAAACTAAATATTCTATTTCGATATTAATTTCTTGTCAATCTTGACAAGTGAAGTACATGTCTAATTTCTGGAAAAAAGTGCAGCCACACATGATCACTAGAAACATGTTCTTTAAGTTACGTATTTTACTGAAAGAAAATTTAACATAAAACAAGAAAGTAAAGTAGTGAGAGGATGGATGACCTTACCTTATTGCGAATAATGAAATCCTCTTCCTGTTCCATGAAGAAGGCATTGAATTTTTCGATCTCATTGTTCAAGCAGTACATAAACTCCTTGTTGGCCTTCGGAGCAGAAGAAATCAATCTAACAAGTTTCTTCAATTCCTTGTATGTCAAAAATTTGTCCCGCCAATCCGGCAAACTCTGTTCAATTTGCCGCTTCAATCTCTTCCCGAACTTCATCAATCTGCAGCTGTGTGTTTGTGAATAAATTAAAATGAAGAAAATTTGCAGAAAGCGTGAAATGGAGGGTGGGTTTAATGGGAGCGAAAAAGAGAGAATATTAAAAGGCATATGCTTGGCGTGATGAAGTGGCTGTTAGAATGAATCCCAGCATATTCGATTAACAGAGTCAATCGGTCATCCTTGTGACCAAATCACACTAAATGATTCGTCTTTTCTTCAATTAATGTCAAATTTAGGTGCTGCACTATTTACTTGGGACCCAAATTGAAATATCAAATGAAAGAATTTTAATTTTTAAACACAGTACAAGATTGTACTCCTCAATTTTCTCCGAAGCTTTTCTTTTACCTTTCGACCCTACAATGACCCTTTGGTTGAACCAGTAAGTTGCTTAACACGGTGCTTTGATCAGGACCGATTGAGTTGAGTCTGATTGTGTTCGAGTTTTGGACAATGAAGAAATTCATATGATTTATTCTGAGAAAATTATCGTTGAAAGGAAAATTCTATTTGTCGATTTTGGAACTTGAATATAATATGATAATAGAGATTAGAGATGTGACTTGTGAAGGAGGCAAAGATTAGTAAAATAATAAATTATTTGTGAAAAGCTATCATGGAATAATATTAAAATTGGGATTTTGGAAAAAGTGGATTCGTATAATCTAAGAATCTCCCTCCCATGCCAATGCCATGGAGATGGCATGTGATAGAAACTTTTTGTCTAGTCTGTACTTGGGCTCTTTTCTTTATCGAACAAGCTCTGTTTTTCCAAAAATACAATTTTCAAAACACACTTTCAATCACATTCTCCTATAAAATAATATTACATGAAAAAAAAAAAAAATCTTATTTCCAACAAATCACTATTCCAAAACACATTTTTCCCAAAAATCTCCTTTTAATGGAACCCAAACAGGGACTTAATATTTTACAACTGGGACCCCATGTCTCTGGATTTTTGGACAAACACCAAACGGTAAACGTGACCACTGCTGGAGCTTGTCTGGATCATATTGAAACCAGCTGCAATAAACCTGCCATAACAAGTATGCTAAGCTTAACAGGCTTCTCCCAAATGAATCAAATATTTACAGAGATTTATAATTTTCTCAAATGATACATGACAGTGAGATTATGGATATTTTATATCTTCTTACGTTACATACTCTAGTGTTTCATCACACCTATAGGGGAAGCACTTTTGCATACGTTTGAAAAACGGAAAGTTGTCTTCTAGTTATAATATTAGTGAAAAATCAATTGGCTTTTCGAGGGATAATAAACCGTTGAATCTTCTGAAACACAACCAAGCTAAATCTGCTTCATACAATAATTTTCTCCCATAGCATATCCATGGGAAGGTTCAAAGATTGATCACAAAGGTAAAACAACCATAGGGACCAAATATGTCTTGAAAATATCCAGAGAGTACACTGTCTATAACTTATTATCCCAAAAGCTATAGCTGATGGGGGGAGGTACAATCGACCCTATATCAGGTTTGGAAATCTACTCCAAGCCCCATTTCACTTGGGCCTCACTTTGAAGGATTCCTTACGAAGGCAATATTGGGTCATTACCAAATTGCGACAATAGGTTCATCCCATTTCAAACGTGCTACTGCATTAACTAATTAACTTGATTTGCATGTTCGGAAGTGTGTATAAACGATTTTATTTATAAATAGATATAAATGAGTGATAGATAAGTGGATAGTACTCGTGGGTTCCACGAAATATAAGAATAAAAAGTGGTTTGAATGTTTATAATCATAAGCCAAATATAAGCTTACATATGGCACCAAAGCTAACATGATCTATTGTTGTGAAACATATATTTGAATTGATCTTTTAATAGATGTAGCAATGGAGAAAAAAAATAAAAAATAAAAAATAAAAAATCCATGCTTACTTTGTAGTCTTCATTGATGTTTAAACTCACATATAGCATAGACGGTATAATAAAGACGCATAAATTTTATTTACTATTCGGCAGAGAAACAGAAACCTATTTGATGAGATCATATGTCCATTTATCTAATTCTGCTGGTTTCCAAGTTTTACTTGCGTGGCAGATAATAGATATTCAAGTATTCAATGTCCGCCCGAAAATAAAAATTAAAAAATAATTGTAGAAATATCAGGCACTCAAAACTTTGAATGCATGCATATGTAGTGCCCATTGGGAAAAAAATATCTGCTAATGGTTTGCTTGTAGAACTCTTGTACATGAGTTGCACACAAACCTATGCATAAGAATCTGTAAGTTGGCAAAAACAATTTTCACAGGCTAATCAATATGCAGGCATACAGTTGAAATTATAATGCAAGAAATAGTAATAAAAATGATCAGGTTGCAAATGGAAAATTGGATAGCATCAGAAAATATATTCCACAACAATACAAATCAGAGTATCACAGATTGGGTGATTTCTAACCTCAACTTCCTGTCAAGACCTCCATCGATGTTTCAAAGTCAATCTTCAACCACACAACCCTGGTAACATCTGATAATAAGAATATTATCACAATTGCAGAAACTTCCATTTTACAAAAAACTTTGTAACATACCTTGTTTCGTGTCCTCAATTTGCAAATCATATAATTTCACAGGGATTAAGTGTGTGTCAGTCTACAGATGACAGTCCATCAGGTGCATGGTCATCATTACATCATCATCTTGCCTACGTAAAATCCACACAATTTGCTCTTGCTCACTATATGTCCTTTGCAATTCAGTATTATAGCAAAACGCTCAGACTGCAATGTAAGGGGAGGAAGAATGACAGTAAAGAAACTAAATAATTCTCTCCATTCTACTCTGCATGTCTTCATTTCCTGTTGAAGCTATTCCAAAATAGCATCTATTTCGAAAAAGGAACAAATTCTCAAACGCCACTGCCCCTAAACTATCATCAATTAAGTGTTAGCTGTTCATTGTAAGAACTCATTTTATCTGTAAGCATCTCTCTCACGCATTCTCTCACCCTTGGCAGCATCCTCTTCCTACAGACGATAACAACAACCGCTAATAACTACATGTCCTCTGAAACCATTGCAGCTACAACTGCCATTACCACCTTTCCCAACCTTCCACGCTTCCTCCTTCCCCCCTCACACACCTTATTGTCATTGGTGCAACCGTCTTGAGATTGCTCAAATTTTGGACTACAATAAAGGGCCGACCCCTAATCTCTTACTACCATTGGTAACTTTGTACCTTACTTCAAACCTTTAACCACTACCTCTAGCCACTTTCTGATATTGATATTCCAGATCTGGCCTCCACTACCTTGACCACAAGCAGAATGACAATCCCAGGCCTTCCAAATTTTTCTCTCTATTATCTTAGTTCACACAAAGATAAAAACTATGCCAACTCTTCCTCTCATTTTTACCCTCGTCTAATTATATCATTTTCCATTTAAAAAAAAAAAAGAGATCAGTGCTTCCATCATTTCTAAAATCTTTACCCTTCCATTTTTCTTCACTTTTTTCTCTGAAATTTGGAATCTCGCATCCAGATTTATCAATCTTTTGCTGATTTTGTACTATATGGTAGCATATAACGTTGACATCGTTTAATTGTCATCACCAGCTTGTTTATATCTCTGAGTTGTATCATCACTGATCCAAGCATCAGCTTGGTTTTGATGATTATAATGAACGGAAAATGATGCTTGAGATGTTTTCGAGAGTTCTTTTGAAAGAAGTTAAAAAATAAAGGATATTCGACAGGTTGGGTAGGGGCAGAAGTTCTAAGATGCTAACTCTCAGAGGCATCTCTAATAATTAGGATCCCATCAAATGAGTAATGCTTGGAACAATCTTAAGAAGTAGTTTACATTGGGGCTTAGCAAGTGTGTCATCATCAGCAAAGCATGCAAGTTCACTCTGCAGCATTGAATAAGCATCTGCAAATGCCTGCACCAAGCAACAGCAATCAATAAAAATAAGCTAACATCAATAGGTGAAAATTCATGGAGCAAATATCAGGAGACTCTTCCCATCTCAGCAACTCAACCCTGCTAAACAAGAAATTTTGAATAGAACCAATTGGTCATAATAGTAACAGAGAACAAAATATCAGCCTCAAAGAATACTAGAGATTCAGGTGAGAACAATAGTTGACTAAGTTTTCAACATCAATCAGAAATGTCCTGACCTATAAATACTTGGCATCCCATTGTTCAGACAGAGAGATTTTATGACACAGAAGTCTCTCCCTACATCATTCCCACTTGCATAGATAACAGAGAATAGTGTGCCATGGACATGTTAAATGATATCAGCAACCTTGCAAGATGAGTCAAAAAGACTCACAGATATGTCCAAATGGATTTGTGCACAAACTAAGAATATACACTCGCTGATCAATTTAGACGTGGATATTCACCAGCTAGCAGAAATTAGCAAATAACAAGATGTTCAATGAATTGGAATATGAGCTGTTAAAATTGACAAGAAGATTAGATTGATTGACCAACTCTTAATTTAAATGTCAAGTTCCGAAACCCTAACTTTGAAATGAAGTTACAATTTTTCTGCTTAAATCTTCGAAGATCAATTCAATATTGGATGAAGTTGGGATGTCCAGGAATGAAACGAACCATAATAATAGGACAAAATATTACTTCCTAAATTTAATTATTCAGTGAGCAAATAAAAAAAAAAAAATTTCAATTTAAGAATATCAGCTGACCTTGATACATTGATGTATGTGAAAACAGTTTCGTCCAACATTATTTGTTGGAAAGAGAGGATCATCAAAATAAAGTGGGTAAAAACTGCAAATGTTAAGTGAAAAGGAAACAGTGAAACTAGGCAACCTGTGAAAACACGGATCAATATGAACAAATAAACAAGATGTCTGCTTTACCTGCACCCTCGTTCCCTGGTTAGGTATATCCCACTTCCCTGTACTGATATACACATTTGAAGAGAGTCAAAGACATTCCTGAAACAAAATGGCTCAGATCATCAATTAAGGCAGGGAATTTCCTGTGATTATGAAGGCAGATAGTAATTAAAAATGTTACTGACTAGAAATGTAGTGTTGACTTATTGGTCAATAACTTATACAAGGATGTATAAGAATGAGAAATGCTGAAAAAAGTGGGTAAATATTTAAGAATCTTCTACAAACTTTTACAGATAGAGAAAGTCGAACAGGAGACTTCCATAACTCTGCAAAAAAAAAAATTGACATCAAAATAATGACATACAAGTTTAAACTTACTCATGGATCCAATACATATATATGCTGAGTTTTAAGTTCAAAATCGAAATGTTACAAATGGAAGTCATAATTTATGCAAGTAATGTTAGACTTGGTAGCAGAAATATGCTAGCAATACATACTACATAGACATGCAGAAAATTGTTTAGAATGTGGTATACAGATGTAATGATACCATGCAAACATAAGAACATGAAGCACTTCCATATCGAACAGCTGGATCTATAATGGGGGATTCCTGCAAGATACACGATGTTAAAGCTATCTAGACCCGGCCTATATGGTTGGGCATAGGTATTGAATGCCAGGCACAGAGAAATTGAAAAAAGGAAGTCTGGCAAGGTTATCCACTGGGGGTTTAAAAAAACAGTGGAGGAGGTTGCAAAAGGAGACACTAGAAAGGGATGATTCCAAATTGTGGAACTAAAAGATCAAACCCAAAGAAGAACATAAAAATTTGTCAAAAATCACAAGGCGGCTCCACAGAATCGCACCTAGGCAAGGCGAAAAACAAAGTGCACACACTCGGATGTTTCAAGCTGCTTTTAACTTGTGCTGAGAGATGTTATTTACTATGCTTAATTTTGAACTCTCTGTTATTCACTCGAATTCATTTCTCAAAAAATACATTAATGGAGATTATGAAGAAATTAACTTTCAGATTTAGTATTCTCAAGGAATAGTCAGAAAAATTAGAAAAGTATACATCCAGCAGAAAATTTTTTAGATTCAAGTTACAAGAAGGGTCTAAAGATTCTAGGAAATTTTAAGAGAAAAGATAGTCTAAATGCAACTTCTTTAGTTTGTAACTTTGACAAAAATTTTAAACATTTTTTACACTATGAAGATAAACAGCTAAATAGTATTGTAGATCTACTTGTAAATTTAGGAGAAAACTTAGAAAGAAACAGTTCAAATAAAAAGGTAGAAATTTTATTAGAAAATATAAATAAAAACATAAAGATTTAAGAAAGTAATTTGGAATATATTAAAAACAAAAATACTGAAATATTAAAAAGAAAATTTTATAATACAAGAGAACTAGATACTAGTCCTAACTTAGAAAAATTGGAAAATAGAATTAAAGCATTATGGAAAAAAAAGTCAATAGACACTAGACAAGATATAGATAACTTACAACTTGATTGGTTTGGATTAAAATTCGATTTTAATCCAAGTCAAAGCCAAACAATCAATATTAACCACATCTTTTATGGGCCCTACAACTTTTTAACCGCACATTTCAAAAATTTCTATTACAATCTACTAAAAAATCTACTTTTAATCTCCACCAAATACCCTCTTAATGAATAAATTAGAAACATTAGATTTAAAGAAAGTCAAAGAACCCAGTAAATTTAAGAAGACTAAGTGGATTTATACGTCATGTATAAAAGAAAACAAATTGTAGCTAGTAGTAGTAAACTAGTTGGTAATCCGTTACCAAGGACATTAAGTGGAAAGATAGAATCCGAAACAACATTAGAATCCCTAATAAATATAGAAGAATTGATAGAAACTTTTAGAAAAAATAAATTAAAATTAGTAAAAGCTTTAGATATACATAAAAAAGGAAATATGTTTAGCAAATCCTTAATAAATCAACATTATGGTGAAAGATATGTTTCTTGCACACATGAAGATCAATTTATATCTCTAGATTTAATAGAAAAAGAATATTATAAAGAAATTATCAATAAAAATCTTTAACTAACTCATTTGGGATTAGCAATAGTAGGAGTGAAAGGATTTCATACAGAAAATTTAGAAGCTAAAGTATTAATATGTTTATATGATAGTAGGTTCAGAGACAGTTCAGAAACATAGAATCAGGATTATTAGAAAGCATAGAATTAGACATGAACAATAAAGGTAGAATTGTATATTATACACCGGACTATTTAGTTAAAACAAAAAGTTTTTATAAAGAAATTAAAATAGGAATAAAAAATAAAGGATATCAAATGAAAAGAGACGAAGATAACTTATTAATATGCACAGGATTCATAGGGAGACTTAGTGAAAATAGTACTAACAATTATAAATTAGAAAATAATCAAATAATTACATTATTAGGTCAAAAAGGTACAAAAGCTATCCCAACAAAGAAATTCTCTTTAGAGACACGTAGGATTAGATTGGAATCTAGGAAATTCTTTAGAAAGACCGATATTAGTGCCAAAAGGCAATATGATATACAAAATAGTAAATGAACTCTAGGTATTAGATTTGAAAATTACAATTATCAAGCAGAACACAGAAAGCATAACGAAGAAGAAAATAAAGGAGAATGTGGATACCTTAAAATAAAAGACTATGAAAGTAAATATGAAATTAATACGTTAGAGAAAAATAGTGAAGACAAAATCGAGGGCGATGAAGAAGAGATTGGATACATAGATATGAAATATTATAGAAATCCTATAAAAGCTAGAGAAATAGAAATTAGAATGTTCATAGAAAAAGATCAGAAGAATATAAAAACTAAGATGGAAAAAGCTAGCAAAAGAACTAAATTAGAAACCGACCAAGAATTCGAAAAAAGAAGAGACCCCATGAATATAGAATATGACATAGGAGGAAAGTACCCTTTCCCCCCGCAAGAGATTATGAATGGGAAGACAAAAATATAAAAGTTTGGGAAAAAGACAATTAGAAAAAGGATGCAATTTACCATTAGCAAGAGATAGAGGACTAATCATATAATTAAATAATTGTAAATCTCAAGACAGACCTAGTGCTATAACTAAATGGAAAAATTCTGTAATAAGAGCATATAATAGTGTACCTGTAAAAATTAATATAGAAGAAATATGGACTTATTTAGAAACTTATTTAGGAAAAATAGCATTAGACATATACATTCAGCAAAAAGACTGAAGCCAGAAGAAATTAGATTAAGAATGATCGGAGGAGATAATCCTAGAAATTTTACAAGTTTTTTAGAGAATTAATTATGCGATCTGCCCCTAGTAGAGACAACACTTACAAACTGAATAAAGTTTTAGAAGACTTAGAAAAATTAAGTATTAGTAACATGAAATATACATAACCATTTTTATTAGATTTTAAAAGATTAACAAGTACATGAGAGTTAGCATTAGATATAGCCATAATTAAAAAGGTCATATAGAAAGATACTACCATCATGAAATGATAAAATTAGAAAAGATTTAGAATCTAGACCAACAAGAGATATAACCACTAGTGCTACCATAAAATTTATAACTGATAAATTAAAAGAATATTGTATAGAAGATGTAGCTAAAAAACAAATAAAAAAAATTAAATTATTTTTTTATTCAAAGTTATATACACTATAGGAGTACAATTATAGAAGAAGAAAGAAGAAATTGTATAAAAAGGATAAAGAACATAAATATAAAAGACAATATCTAGATAGAAAAATATAGTGTGTGTTTAAGCCACATTATTTTGAAAAAATGTTTTTTGGAATAGTAGATTGATGTATGTATGGTTAAAAAATGAGAAAAATTCTGGATTTGCATGTAATATTATTTATTGAAAAATGTGTAGTTAAAATGATATTAAATCACTGTTTAAAAATACATTTTTTGCAAGAATGCAGCTCAAATAGAGCCATAGACCAAGTAGGACATATTATAAAAATAAAAAACCAAATTATAATAAATAGACATGTTAAAAAGTCAAGAAATAAAAATGGATTGTAAACGTTATATCTGTTGAGACCTAGACATTTTGCTAATAAATGCCCCAATAAAAATAAAAGTAGCGAAAATATAGTTAAATTTATGATAATTAAAGAAATACAGTGTGATATTATAGAATTATCTGATAATAAATCTTGTAGCTCAGTTTGTAATATTTATACAGAAGAAGAATTAAACAATTTAGAAATAATAAGTAATTTTGAAGACAGTGATAGCTTAGAAGAACTAGATTTTTCAATTCTCGATACAAAGGTCATGAATATAGAACAAGAATGTGTCCATGAATGGATTACAAGACAAATATCATTAATGGATAAATGCAAAATATGTAAAATATACCCAAGACATAAACATAGAAATCAATGTAAAAAGTGCTTAGAAATCCAATGTAATAATTGCTTACGAATTAGAGAAGAAATTAATAACAAAATTAAAGGCTATGGTAAAAATATAAAAAGATTAGATGATAAGATAATAAATACAAGTAATAAAATAGATAAAATATATGAAACATTAGAAGAAATACAATATACGATCAGAAATCTTAAAAAAAAAAGAAAAGAAAAGCAAAGCAGCCTATAGATAATTACAAGGAAAATAATTACTTACAAAGAAAAAATCTAGAGGAAATAGTTTGTCAAATATCTAAAGTAAAGTCAACTAAAATCTTTAGGATACCCATAGAAATACAAATAAATTAAATGATAAAATTAAATTTAGTTGCCTTAATAGACATGAGATGTACATTTAACATAATTAGCAAAGACTTAGTTCAATAAAATGATAAAATTAAATTTAGTAACCTTAATAGACACAAGATGTACATTTAACATAATTAGCAAAGACTTAGTTCAATAAAATGATAAAATTAAATTTAGTAACCTTAATAGACACAAGATGTACATTTAACATAATTAGAAAAAACTTGGTTCCAGAAGACCACAGACATAAACTAAAATATGAAATAAGAGGTAGTCAAATGGACAGTAGTAAAATGTGATTTGAAGAAAGGCTTTTTGATGATTGTAAGATTAAATTTCAAGAAAGACAATATAGTTCAACAACTACATTAGTTGTAAATCAACAAAAGACAAATTTGTTAAAGGTATAAAATTCTTAATAAGTAGAAATTGAAGTATAACAATTACTCCTGATGTTATAACTTTTGGAAAAGATACATTTATTATTAATACAATAGAATCATCAGAGTTGCGATCGAAGCGTGGTGGATCCCTACATTCACAAACAACAGATCT